AAAAGTAGATAATCTACTTTTCGGGAAAGTAGATAACCAACTTTCCCGGAAAGTAGATATTTCCTATTTTCTATTTTACAAATTTCCCATTTTCTATGATAAGTAGATAACCAACTTTCCCAGAAAGTAGATATTTCCCATTTTCTGTGACACAAATTTCCCGTTTTCTATGATAATTTACTTTGGAAAATTAGGCAATATTTCCCCAAAAGTCGATAATCTACTTCCCCCAAAAGTCGATAATCTACTTTCCCTAAAAGTAGATAATCTACTTTTCGGGAAAGTAGATAACCAACTTTCCCGGAAAGTAGATATTTCCCATTTTCTATTATACAAATTTCCCGTTTTCTATGATAAGTAGATAACCAACTTTCCCAGAAAGTAGATATTTCCCATTTTCTGTGACAAATTTCCCGTTTTCTATGATAATCTACTTTGGATAATTAGGCAATATTTCCCAAAAAGTCGATAATCTACTTCCCCTAAAAGTCAGTAATCTACTTTCCCAAAAAGTAGATAATCTACTTTTCGGGAAAGTAGATAACCAACTTTCCAGGAAAGTAGATATTTCCCATTTTCTATGATATAAATTTCCCGTTTTCTATGATAAGTAGATAACCAACTTTCCCAGAAAGTAGATATTTCCCATTTTCTGTGATACAAATTTCCCGTTTTCTATGATAATCTACTCCGCAAAATTAGGTAATATATCCCCAAAAGTCGATAATCTACTTCCCTGAAAAGTCGATAATCTACTTAACCAAAAAGTAGATAATCTACTTTTCGGGAAAGTAGATAACCAACTTTCCCAGAAAGTAGATATTTCCCATTTTCTATTTTACAAATTTCCCATTTTCTATGATAAGTAGATAACCAACTTTCCCAAAAAGTAGATATTTCCCATTTTCTGTGACACAAATTTCCGTTTTCTATGATAATCTACTTTGGAAAATTTGGCAATATTTCCCCAAAAGTCGATAATCTACTTCCCCCAAAAGTCGATAATCTACTTTCCCAAAAAGTAGATAATCTACTTTTCGGGAAAGTAGATAACCAACTTTCCCGGAAAGTAGATATTTCCATTTTCTATTTTACAAATTTCCCATTTTCTATGATAAGTAGATAACCAACTTTCCCAGAAAGTAGATATTTCCCATTTTCTGTGACACAAATTTCCCGTTTTCTATGATAATCTACTTTGGAAAATTAGGCAATATTTCCCCAAAAGTCGATAATCTACTTCCCCCAAAAGTCGATAATCTACTTTCCCTAAAAGTAGATAATCTACTTTTCGGGAAAGTAGATAACCAACTTTCCCGGAAAGTAGATATTTCCCATTTTCTATTATACAAATTTCCCGTTTTCTATGATAAGTAGATAACCAACTTTCCCAGAAAGTAGATATTTCCCATTTTCTGTGACAAATTTCCCGTTTTCTATGATAATGTACTTTGGAAAATTAGGCAATATTTCCCCAAAAGTCGATAATCTACTTCCCCCAAAAGTCGATAATCTACTTCCCCCAAAAGTCGATAATCTACTTTCCCTAAAAGTAGATAATCTACTTTTCGGGAAAGTAGATAACCAACTTTCCCGGAAAGTAGATATTTCCCATTTTCTATTTTACAAATTTCCCATTTTCTATGATAAGTAGATAACCAACTTTCCCAAAAAGTAGATATTTCCCATTTTCTGTGACACAAATTTCCCGTTTTCTATGATAATCTACTTTGGAAAATAAGCCAATATTTCCCCAAAAGTCGATAATCTACTTTCCCAAAAAGTAGATAATCTACTTTTCGGGAAAGTAGATAACCAACTTTCCCGGAAAGTAGATATTTCCCATTTTCTATTTTACAAATTTCCCATTTTCTATGATAAGTAGATAACCAACTTTCCCAGAAAGTAGATATTTCCCATTTTCTGTGACACAAATTTCCCGTTTTCTATGATAATCTACTTTGGAAAATTAGGCAATATTTCCCCAAAAGTCGATAATCTACTTCCCCCAAAAGTCGATAATCTACTTTCCCTAAAAGTAGATAATCTACTTTTCGGGAAAGTAGATAAGCAACTTTCCCGGAAAGTAGATATTTCCCATTTTCTATTATACAAATTTCCCGTTTTCTATGATAAGTAGATAACCAACTTTCCCAGAAAGTAGATATTTCCCATTTTCTGTGACAAATTTCCCGTTTTCTATGATAATGTACTTTGGAAAATTAGGCAATATTTCCCCAAAAGTCGATAATCTACTTCCCCCAAAAGTCGATAATCTACTTCCCCCAAAAGTCGATAATCTACTTTCCCTAAAAGTAGATAATCTACTTTTCGGGAAAGTAGATAACCAACTTTCCCGGAAAGTAGATATTTCCCATTTTCTATTTTACAAATTTCCCATTTTCTATGATAAGTAGATAACCAACTTTCCCAGAAAGTAGATATTTCCCATTTTCTGTGACACAAATTTCCCGTTTTCTATGATAATCTACTTTGGAAAATAAGCCAATATTTCCCCAAAAGTCGATAATCGACTTTCCCCTAAAGTAGATATTTCCCATTTTCTATTACACAAATTTCCCATTTTCTATGATAAGTAAATAACCAACTTTCCCAGAAAGTAGATATTTCCCATTTTCTGTGATACAAATTTCCCATATTTTATGATAATCTACTTCGCAAAATTAGGTAATATTTCGCCAATAGGAATTACTTGTGGCGCTCATTTTATATTATTTGTTCCCAAACATAACCAGTTTTGGACCCTTCAGAGCACTGGGACACCGGATAAACGGTCCCATACCTGTATATATAGAATAATACAGCAAAAACTACAGGATCTACACATACCTGTATACTGTATGTGGCAATATGTACATGGACTAGAGTGGGAGCAAATGAGTTCTTGCAAGTTGTTGCATAATTTTCTAAAGAATGCACTGCCATAACTAGCTCTGCTACAGCTTCAGCTAATTTACCTCAAAAGGAGTGGCACTATCATTATTATAACTGGGTTAATAAAAAGCTACTAACAATAATTTGCTTTTAATAACTAAGTAAGGCAGCCATACAACATTAAACAATACTGAATACTCCATACAATAACTATCTCTAGTGCAATAACAACTATAGAAGTGCAAATTAATAGAATATAAATTGTAAGTCTATTTAAAAATATTTAGCACACTAGACAACCAAAGGTACTGCATTTCAATATACAGGTATTTGTACTTGAGGACTGCTTGCTTCCTCTGTCCAAGTCTTATGTACTTCCCTCCTTCTTTCTTTAATTACAGTATGTTCACTCATCTGGTTCATTTTTCCATATTCCTAATTCAGTTATTCCCAGCACTTTCTCAGTCTCCCCGACACCCGCTCAGTCGTTCAGTCTCCCCGACACCCGCTCAGTTGTTCAGTCTCCCCGACATTCGCTCAGTGTCCCCGACACCCGCTCAGTCGTCCAGTCTTGCCACCACTCACTCAATCAGTCCGTCTCCCCAACACACTCTCAGTCAGTCAGCCAGTCTCAACACCCACTCTCAGTCAGCCAGTCTCAACACCCACTCTCAGTCAGCCAGTCTCAACACCCACTCTCAGTCAGCCAGTCTACCTAACTCCCAGTCTCAGTAAATCCTCTTCATTCTGTCTTCCCATATCAGTACAAGAAGTGGATTGAGTACCCATCACTGTGACTCTTAGTCGTCCTCCTCACACGGGAATCTGTCAAATCGGTGAAATCCAGCAGTTGAGTTGGTCTCAGCACCTGATCATTGTCTTTGATATCGTTAAGCACAGTCTGGCGGAGCTTTCTGATCTTCCTTAGTTTTTCCATCCAGTTACTAGCATATAGTGTACGAGGTGGACGATTGAGTGAATCCAAAATCATTGAAGCGAGCTGTAAAATATAAACATAGTAGTATCAGAAAATACATCTGAGCAATATTTTCCCCACCTTCAGATTTTTTTTGTGTGTTACTCAAAGCAGCAAGCTGAAGGTAATCTGTGTTTATTGTGCAGAAGATAACCAGAAAATCAAGCTTTCAAAATCCTTTTTCCTGTGGTATTGGTAAAGTGTAGAAACTTTTCTCCATACTGTATACAGTAGTATAAACTACAGTATTTCAACTAATTTTATGATTTACTCGAATTATAAAAAAAAAGTCATCTTACAATGAGCTGACTGATAAGAATTTTGGAAAGATATGATAATTAAAAAAAAAAGGCCTATTTAGGTTGTCCAAAAGCATAGCCTCAGGTTGTTTTGTAACTTAAATTTTTTTTTCTGTTACGGCTACCTAATTACTACCATTTTCCTGTAAGTGAACCCATGGTTATCCAAACTAATTGGGGGGGGGGGTGTCAAAATCAAGTACAGGTACAAGTGAATAGGAAAGACCCCATTTGACATACCAGTTCCCATATGACCATGGAGTGAATTAATATCTCATAATCATAATTATCTTTTCTTGAGCCAAGTAGCGAGGGATCGTAAGTTAAATTTTCATTTAAATTCAAACAATGATAGTGAACGTAACCTTTGATGGCCACTCTGATTTTTCAAATAAGGTGTTCTCAGTTAGTTCAGCGAGTGTTAAATCACATTATAGAATTTTTGGGCTAAAACTGTGTCACAGTTTTGGGGACACTGGCCACCTCGATGCTCGCCTTATAGCAACCAGCCCAGTTGGGATGCTTGTGTTATCAAACTATACTTTATAAAAAAAATAAATAAATAAAATGTGCTATTGTGACAATTTATCCACCAAACTTTTTCATATATTGTATGTAAAAAATTTGTTATTGGATGAATTTTTTTAGATTCGTTTTATCCTGAAAAAATTCCCTATTACAACTGGCTACTCACCAATTATTTCAGTAGTATATTAGCCATTATAAACTTATAGTGGAATGATCTGTAAACTGCTATGCATATACTGTACTGTATAGTTAATAATGTTTTCTTATTGTAGGAAGATATTCAGTTAATTTTTTCCTTTCAGGATCCTGCTCGTTGCCCCCAATTGTTTTTATATTCCCGGGCGGACAAGTTAATAGGGTCTGACGATGTTGAGTTTTTCATCGCAGAGCGCCAGAAATTGGGTGTTCCTGTTGTGGCAAAGTGCTGGGCTGACTCTTCCCATGTTCAGCATTATAAGTAAGACCTGCTTCCTGTTTGTCCTAAATGTATAATCTGTGACTTGATTATATTTGTCTTTATTAGATATTGTAATTTATGATGAAAAGAATACAGAAGAAAGCTGAGTAATAAAAAAAAAAAAAAAACATTGATACCGGTAGGTGAAATACAAATAAGGGATGAGGTATGTAGGACATTAAAAATAAATTACCATTCTATAGTCAGTCATGAAGAAGGAAGTATTAGGTATGTCAGAGGAAAACAAATCAGGTTTTCAGGGTTTGATGAAATTTTAAAGTAGATGTGTCACAAAAGTATTGATGTTTGAAGTACAGTACAGTCATTCCCCGATAACCGACACATATAAGGACCGGGAAAAGTCGTTAGTTAGTGAATCAATAGTTATCAAAGCAATTAATACTATAAGAATATAAAATATTGAGGGGGTTAGGGACTGGCTACTCTTGATATATCTTTGTCGAGCACACTGTCAAGCAAGAAAATCAAGCAAGTATAATACAGTAAACCTTAAATAATCAATGTAAATTGAGACTGTCTAGGGTGGCAAGTTCAAGTCTCTACTAGTCTTTGCTGGTCGATCACCACTCTTATTACGCCTTATCACATCACATCACATCAAGCTGCCCCTAAGAGGAACTATCACTGGCATTTTGAACCAGAGAGGCAGGAATGAGTCGGAGACAACATGCAGAGCCCTCTTGTGGCAAAAATTCGCACCACACTACCAGGATATCAACGAAACTTGAGGGGTATTTCTCCTTTATGTAATCATCGGTTATTGGGATGTCGATTTTCAGGTATACCTGTACATGAAAGTTATAATGATGATGATATTTTTTTAATGGTGGATATATCAAATGACTGGAAAGGGAGGTAAAAGAAGTGGTTGAAAGTAAAATACAGTCGGCCCTTAACATACGCGGGTTTATAATACACGGATTTGCAAATACTGTACGCGGATTGCCCCGCCGGAGGAATATTCTGTACATTGAAGTAATTGAAGTACATTCAAATCGCGCATCATTCAACTCGTGCGCGGCAACGCCCGCTCCCGCAACCTCGCACACACACGCATAGCTCTCCCTCACTCAGTCAGTCTCGCTGCAACCACGCTTGTGTTGACATCAGCATTGTAGTTGCAAAAATATTACATTTCCGTGAATGTATTATATCAAGCACAGTATGAATAGAATATCACTAATATAAGAGTATTTTAACCGAAAACTACTAAAAAAAACGAGTAACATATCTTGAACATCGGAAGGCTAGGTAAAGTCTTTTGTTTTCATGTAGTTTATCCTAATTTACATTGAAATGCATTACGTTTCAGCAAAACTACTACAGTAGTACCTCGATTTACGCGGTCAATTGAACCCACAAGGTACCGCGTTAAGTGAAATCCGCGTAAATGGAACAACAGAACATATGGGATTAATTCCAATAGAGACTGGCCCGACCCCCAAACTCCACTTTTTGACGACACACAACTATGTTGTAGTAAAAATATTATCTTAACTTTATGATGGTATGCACACACAATTAATAATTAAGAGAAATATCAATAATATTAGGTTTTTTAACACTTACATTTGTAGAAAAGATGGCTGGGCACACGGGGGATGGGGGGTTGGTTCCGAGGCAGAGGGCAGATTATTGGCCCTCACCTGTATCACTTGTATCAATTGTGTCACTATCCACCACAGAGGCTTGCAGGGCCTCTTTGTCAAACCCCTCAAAGTCCATATAAGTCCATATCCTCACTATAATTATCACTATCACTGACTTGGGCCGGCTGTGGTGGATGGCGGGTGAAGAACTCGGTATGTTTTGATGAATGGGTGACCTTGTGCGCATCCTGCCCGCGCCGCTTCCCGCGTATATGAGTAGATGAACCGCGTAAAGTGAAAGTTCGGTTCTGGCGAGGCACCGCGTATATGAGAAATCGCGTAAAGTGAAACCGCGTAAAGCGGGGTAATACTGTATTTATTTCTGAGAATATGGAAATGTAATATTTTGCTGAAATGACGTACGTGTTACAGTGGAAAGTGACGAAAGCAATGACTCGCTTTCTTTCGTTCAAAAGATGTTACCGTAATCGCTTTTCGAATGGTTTTCAGTTAAAAAACTGTTGTATTACAATAATATTCTATCCTAATTCACTTGTGATGCAACCTCAAAGTCCATATCGTCACTATCACTGACTTGGGCTGGCTGGGGTTGTGGGCGAGGAAGTCCTCAATACTACGTTGACGACTAGCTCGCTGGAAATATGTCGACGACTCCACCATTGGGATCAGCGTCAACAATTCTGCTCCCAACTATACCGCCCTTCAGGATTTATTGAACAGTCTCCAAAACTGGGCCACCAACAACCATGTCACCATCAACCATACCAAGACCATGGTTATGCACATCAACCTCTCCTCCGACATTGTCCCACCTCCTTCCATTACTCTAGGTCTGAACACACTCCAGGTTGTAGATTCCACGAAGCTCCTCGGCGTCACCATAGACAACAAACTAAATTGGAAACCACACGTCAGTGAAGTTGTCAAATCCTCCAGTTTCCGTCTCCTCCTCCTCCGCCGACTCAAGTCCCTCGGAGTTCCTGCACACGAGCTCCTCAGTGTTTACACAACATTCATACTTCCCAAGCTCACCTATGCCTCCCCCACCTGGTCTTCCTCCCTAAATGCCACACAACGTAAACACCTAGAAAAAGTGCAAAAGAGGGCATGCAAGATTATTCTCTCCCCTTCCTACTCCACATATCAAGAAGCGCTCAACACTGACCCTTTCGACTCTCACTGACCATCACCACGACCTCATCTGCAAATTTGGTAAGAAGCTTCTACACCATCCTCGACACCGGCTCCTACTACCACCTGAGATCCCTAGTCCGAGAATTGCTGTTCGACACCACAACCGCATCCAGCCCATACGTGCACGAACTGATCGCTATAAGAACAGCCCAGTCCCAACCATTGTAAAAATTATCAATAACTTGTAATAAACCAGTGTATTCACTCCCAGTAAACACTACTCCTTGCACTGTCACTATGTTGAAATGAACTGTAGTTTGAGCTTTTCCCCATCTAGTTATTATATGTCTTATTTGTGTCACTTATGTTACTTGTATATTATTTGTAATTCGAAACCCATTCCCCAAATATGTAACTGTATATTTTCAGCCTTCTGGCTGCCAAGCTCTTTCAATAAACCGTTAATTATTATTATTATTATTATTATTATTAGATAGATCTGGATATACGGCTCCATAAATTTCGTCAGATGGTTATTAGACACTTCATACCGATGCTTGTCTGGGTCGTTGTCAAGGATGAGCTAAAGTTTCTCCCCCAACTCAATGATTTCCTTCACATTATCATGGCTTGGTCCAGGTAATTCAATGTTTTTCTCTGGTGGTAGGGGTCCTGCAGCAGCCATTGTGAGTTGTGAGGGGAATAGCAGGCACAAGAGAGAACTGTATACGTGGACTGAGAATAATGAGACAGGCCCTGCTAGGTCAGCAACTTCTTCCCTCTCGTGGCAGGGCACGTCATATTACATTAAACCAATCACAGCTAGTGGGGAAGGGAGGTAAGGATGTGTGGTTCAATCACAGTCCGATATGTCATATGTCACCGACAACGCAACAGCGACATACTGCGCACCCCTCCCCGCGCCGCTTCCCCCCTGCTTGTGGTCAGGCATGGCGGGAGGTTTGAATCCAAAATGACGTGCGGCTGGACCGCCAGCTGCTCTCCACGTAAATGACCAAATTTACCGCATAATTAAAGCATTTCAATTCTGGAAAGGCACCGCTTAAATGACGAAACACGTAAGCAAAAACCGCATAAATCCAGACTCAACTGTAGTTCCTTATACTGTATGCCAAGATTAACATTGACATTATTCTGGTGGGTGTCTCATAAGTAAGAAAAATACTGTAACTGTAGGGAAAATCAACATATTCACAGACTGCTTCATTCATCTTCTGTTAAATACCAAGAAACATTAACATATTACTTTAAAAATTATTATGATGGATTTGTTTCATAAATGGGAGAGACTGTGATTGTCAACTAAAAATATCGTAAGGTGGATATGACGATAAACTGCTGCACTTTCTGTGCTAATACAATATTAACATTGCTTTTGGGTTCGGTAGGATATAAATTTTTGGTGGGCTGGCCCACAGAATAGTACCTAAATCGCAATGTGGCCCATGACTGAGGAAACGTTACCCATGCCTGTGATAATGCATAATAAGAGTGGTGATGGACCAGCAAAGATTGGTAGACTTGATTTTTTTTTTTTATTTCTGGGTTAGTGTGTTACTCTATCATGCTTACCGTATATCACGGCCTATAAGACGAAATTTGAACATTAAAAAAATCTGCCCAAAGTTAGGGGGTCGTCTAAACCACCAAGTTTAAAATTCTTACCTCTTAAATATTGTGGTTTAGTGTGTCAAGAGTGGTGATGAAAACATCGTAAGCCACTCACAAGGTCTTACCACTAATTATTTTATACTGAAACTTACGTTTGGCAAGCTGGATTCAAATTAAGATTACCGGTATATTAAAATAATAAAAATGTATTATAAACCTGTCTAACATACCGTAAAAGAGATTTATACCCCTGTAATAAACACAGCTATCATCACACACCCCTCCCCACGCCCCCCCCCATTTGCCAGTGAGGAGACAAGAAAGGGAAAGTGACCACGAGATTGGGCTATTTTTAGCCGTGGAGGTGGTCAGTAATGCATACCGGTATCGGTATATTTACTCATAATAATATTTATCTCCTATAAATAATTGATTTAAATTTTATTTTTTTACAAAGAATATTCAGTAAATGAGTGCATTAATTCTTGAAACTATCGACGGTTAATTACAGACGCTCAAGTGACGTCACTAGTGTTTACACTACACCAGCTGGTAATATTTGATGCCATTACTTGAAGTGAATTGGCCTTATTTTAAGTAACTAACTATAAATAAATACAAAAATTAAAAAAAAAGATCAAAACTGAGAAATAATATACTGTATGTATGTTGTGTTGTCAAAGTAAGAGGAACAATTGTGTAAGTACGTAATATTTTTTCACTCAAATCCTAATGAAACACTACTGGAGAACATTCCTTTGTCGCAAAACAGTTTATAAATTAAAGAAAATAATTACAGTGTGTTTAATATATTACAGTATATTATAAATAAATAAATAAAACAAATAATTCGGTAAATCTATTTAAAGTAAATGGAAAATAAGCAAACATGTTATTTACCAAGACCCTTCCGTCTGGCTCAGGGTGAGATGGAGGGGAGATAACAAGGCTATTTATAGCCCATCAGAAGTGACCAGTACCCTAATGCACCATAAATAATTCATTGAACATTCATTTTTTGTACATAGTATATTCAGTATATATATATATATATATATATATATATATATATATATATATATATATATATATATATATATATATATATATATATATATATATATATATATATATATATATATATATATATATATTTGTGTAATAAATGTATGTAGTAAGTACATACTGGTAACCTTTTTCACTCAAATCCTAATGAAACACCACAATTAGAATACGGTGGTTGCTGTTGAACCACATGTTGTATAAATAGTCACACCACCGAGACGAGGGAACACTCCCACCACGCTTCAGTGACGTCACTAGTGTTTACACTACACCAGCGGGTATAATTTGATGACATTACTTGAAGTGAATTGGCCTTATTTAAAAAAATCAAGGATGGTTGGTAAAGGACTACTGAGTCAGTGGGTAAGTGTCACATTTGGGGTACTGGTCTTATACAGCAAATAGAGCTCAAAAGCTACTTTTTAAATGGAAATTTGGGGGGGGCGTCTTATGCACCCCGCCGCCTTATAGGCCGTGATATACGGTAAGCATCCCAGTGAAAGTTCCTCTTGTGCTGGGCAGCTTGATGCGGCGTAAAAGGCATAATAAGATGCAATAAGGGTGATGATGGCCCTTCAAAGATTGATAGAGACTTGAATCTTGCCACCCTAGACACTTTTGTTATACTCAACACAGGTAAATAAGTCTCATTTTGTTTTACATTGCTTATTTAAGGTTTATCAGGTTTGTTTTATATGGTTGCTTTATTTTCTTGCTCGACAGTGTGCACAAGAGATATATCAAGGGTAGATGGGAGTAGCTAACCCCTCAATTTGTTATGTTCTTATGGGATTAATTGCTTCGATAACCGTTGATTCACTAACGACTTTTCCTGCTCCCTGTATGCGTTGGTTATTGGGGTACACCTGTATGCATATATTATTTTAAGAAAACTATGGCTACAGGAGGATAATACACACAAGTTTTTTTCCTAAATATTCCCTGCTGAAATGGGGGGAGGGTGTCCTATATGCCTGTGCATCTTCTGTGCCGCAAATCATGGTGATTTATTGCTTATGTTCAATTTCTTCATCCCCAGGATGTACCCAGAAGAATACAGGGAGTCTGTATACTCTTTCCTGTCCATGTGCCTCAGTCAGGACGTGGCTGTTGTGGAGCAGCCCACAACCACCACTGATGATCGTAAACATAAGAATGATTAAATAGTAGAGGAAGGGTAGTTGTATAAACATGTAGTTTGGTGATGGGTAAATGAGAAGAGTCACTGTAAATGCTTGTTGATCGTAAAAAGAGCGTGTTACTATAGTCCTGTAGTTTGGTGCTGAAGGTAATAAGTAAAGGTGTCACTATCATTATAATTTGATGATGGCAAAAACAAATTATGTGTTGCTTTAAATAACAAAAGGAGATGCTTTAAGAAAGTATTTGCCTTTCTGTATCTGATTATCTTAACTTATGGATGTTGATTGTGATAAATAACTACTGTAGTCATCAATAATGTCGGTTATTATGTGTGTGGTGCTGAAGCTTGAATTACCAGTAATGTAATCTTCGGTGACTTTCTGGTTTTTCTTTAACGTTGCTGTTTTTGGACTCATTGTATTTCATCGACTTTGCTTCTAAAAACCTTTATGTATTCGTTCTTTGTACATATATTAAGCTGCTTACTACATGGTTGTTTAGGTCCAGTCAAGTTGCTATTGGCATCACTCTCAGTATGGATTTGAAATATATACTATATCCTCCACACAAAATTTATGGTCCTTTGAGTACTGTGTCTATAAATTCTAAGTAAAGAAATTTATTTTGGTATCTGAAACAAAACTTTTGAAGCCTTATGTATAATTGCATATTCCAGAATTAGTTGACACATTCATGAAGAACACTCCAATCATTAACCCCTTGGGTATGTGGGCTCTCTGTGCTGAATAAAATTGTCTGGCATTGGGAAAATCAAAATCAAACGTGATATCATGTAGTGAAGCAGTTAAGATCCCCGAGAAAAATTTATACTGCACTGAACTTAAAGATTGTCTCAGAAAATATTTTTCCCAACATTTTTCACTTCCCAGAGCTAATATTAACACACTGCCAGGGAAACTTACAGGAATACTATTACTGTACGCTGTAGACTTTTTGTCAGGTATATAACATCAAAATTAGAGTAAGGGTGAATTGTTCAATTCAAGGCTTAGAGTGGGAAAATCAAGCCAAAACGATTATTTTTCTTGTTTACATAGAAAGTATTATGTTGCTTAGATTTTGTCCAGCATAGTTACAGTAAAGAGTGTCAGTGCTCCTGTTTCTGTTGTATTTTCTATCTCTATTATATTTTCTGAATTTATTATTGTACAGTACAGGTTGGACCTTGCTAATCTGGGACCCGATAGCCCGGCAGCTTCGATGGTTTGGAATGGTGTCATAGCTCACTTCTAGTGGCTGTTGCCACTATTTTACCTTTAAGTACTTATAATTTACCCCCAAATATGCCTCCCAAGAGACCAGCAAGCAGTGGAAGTGGTGTAATGCAGCAAAACGTAAGCATGTGACATTAACTATTTCAGAAAAGATGTGTTTAGTACTGAAGAAATTAGACAGTTTTAGTACATTTTATGCATTTTTTTGCCTTCTTTAACTTTGACTTCGATGGTTCAGAATTTTCTCTGATCCGGAAACGGTCTGGTCCCAAGCTTCCTGGTTTAGCAAGGTCCAACCTGTAATTCTACACCAGACTTTTACTCATGAAAAGGGTTTTATAGACTGCACTTTCTCCAGGTTGATTACTCATTAACATTTGTTAGAGTTACAACAGTGCATGTTGAATTACCCCTACTTTAAAGAAAACTTTGAAAGATGGTTGATACATCTAAGACTAGAAAATGTGATTTTCTGCACCAAAGATATCAGTAATATATAATTTTAGTAATAATATAACTTAATGTTTTGGAGGGAGGAGTCACTTTTGGACTCCACAGATGACATAATTATATCAGACTTTGTTCCATAGATCTTTCTTGAAGACTTGTACCTCATCATGAGTGTGGAATGAATGTACAGGTACAGTGGTCCCTCATTGTTAAAGGTATTTGTAAATCAGTTCATGTAAACTCAATTATCAGTATCATATAGTTTCACTTTTCATTGCAGGAGAATCCATCCAACAACCTTATAAACTTTGTCTTGGCTCTATACAGTAGGGTCGGGATATATCACGAGATAGGGTCCAACGATGTTCGCTATACTGTATACTAAATCGCGATACATAATAACATGTAATCAATGGGGAAAATGGGGTTAGGTTTGGAGGCCCAAAAAAGTGACTAAACTTGACTTAATGAGTTCATTCTCTTACTAACTAAAGCACCAATGAACACTAGACTCGGGAACAACAGGCTATTTCAATATCAATATCAAGAAACACCAGACTCAGGAACACTAGACTCGGCAGCTGACGCACCATTCTGGGAACACCAGACTCGGCAGCAGATGCCACACTGCCACCCTCACTTAACAATCCCACACCTACATAAATGAACACCCAAAATATTAGTTACAGTATTAAATCTTTTCCATTAAGCTTTCCATTATCTTCACTTTTCACATCACTAGCAACCCATTTTCACTCGCTTTAGAAATTACAATCTGCATCACTCGGCAGCTGACGTGTCATCCCGCGAACAACGGATGGCACACTGCCACCCTCACTTAACAATCATAAACGAACAAACCAAAAATATTAGTTACAGTATTAAATCACTTCCATTTTGCTTTTCATTATCCTCACTTCACTTTTCACGTCACTAGCAACTCATTTATACTCACCTCAGACTGAGCATGAATGCGTGAGTGAGCAGCCACGGTGGCATGCATTTGTTTGTCATGGCGGTACATTTGAAATATTTCCTGCCCGATTTCCCTTGCGCAAAAAAAAAAAAATATTGCTATACTGTCTATAGGAAAATTGTTATAATTTTGTTGGCCGCGATATATATTTTTTTTTATGTAAAGTCGCGATATATCCCGACCCTACTGTACTTGTTTACCCCAGAATTGAATGTACATTTCTATTCATTAATCATTTACCTTTTCAATTTTAAAACATAGTGGCTATTTATATGTCACAAGCTCTCCATATTTCAGTGTTTCTTCAGTTTCCTTACATTCCATTTAACCACATTCCATTTTAAGGGTAAAATGACTTTTGTAAATAAATTTTGTATGTTTTACTATAATCTGTAGATAGTCATGGGGTTTATCTTTTAAGCCAAGAGCCCTAAAGGACATTTGCAGAAATTTAAGACATGACAAAGAGTATATTTAAGTTATTGACATTTTCCCAAGTGAAGCATTACCAAATGAAGCCTGGAATGATCCCTGGTCTGTCTTGAAGTGTTCATATACTTTGCAGTGATAACAAAATTGATTGTGCATGTGTGTGTCCCCCAGGAGGTCAGGGTTGCAGGGCATGCTTGTGTGTTCCCCAGGAGGTCAGGGCTGTATGGCATGTGTGTGCATCCCAGGAGGTCAGGGCTGTTGGGCATGTGAGCGTATCCCCCAGGGGGTCAGGGCATGTATGTGTGTTCTCCAGGGAGTCCGGGTTGTAGGGGATGAGTGTGTGTCCCCTAGGAAGTCATGGCTGTAGGGCACGTGTGTGTATCTCAGGAGGGCAGGGCTGCAGGGGATGTGTGTGCCCCAGGAGGTCAGGGCTGTAGGGCATCTGTGTCCCTAGGAAGTCAGGGCTGTAGGGCATGTGTGTGTCCCCCAGGAGGTCAGGGCAAGTGTGTGTTTTTCCAGGAAGTCAGGGTATGTGTCACAGGAGGTCAGGGCTGCAGGATGTGTGTGTGTCCCAGGAGGTCAGGGCTCTAGGGCATGTGTTTAACCCCCAGGGGTCAGGACTCTAGGGCATGTGCTTGGGCATGTGCCCCCCAGGGTCAGGACTCTAGGGCATGTGTTTGCTTCAGGGGTCAGGGCTGTAGGGTATATGTGTGTGTGTCTACCAGGAAGTCAGGGCTGTAGGGCATGTGTGTGTCCCCCAGGGAGTCAGGGAATGTGTGTGTCTTCCAGGAGGTCAGGGCTATAGGGCAGTGTGTCCCCCTGAGGGTCAGGGCATGTTTGTGTCCCGAAGGAGGTCAGGGTTGCAGGGCATATGTATGTGTCCCCCCAGGACGTCAGGGCTGTAAGGCATGTGTATTTGTGTTCCCCAGGAAGTCAGGGAGTGTCACAGTGCCCCCCCACATGCATTACTTTATCTGTATCTTATTGTTAAAAGTGAAACATGAAACCTTTTAAACTTTATAGATATACACCTCAAAACTTGATAAAAATATTCTTGTCCCAGAGAAAATAATTTAATACTTTTGTTTCATACATACTACAGAAATAGAAGCTTTGAAACATAAATTGTGAGTTTCATTCCATGACACATCAGATGCCGAGTGTCAATAAATGTTATATATCCTGTACTATACTATACAGTGTAATATACAGTATGTCCTTAAGAAAAGCCTATAATATTGTGTTGATATGTAATGTATGAAAATTTATGTACAATATGTTCACTCTAAATACACTAATTAATGATATATATATATATATATATATATATATATATATATATATATATATATATATATATATATATATATATATGTGTGTGTGTGTGTGTGTGTGTGTGTGTGCAAGAAAATCACAGGTGCAGGATCTGTTGACAGTGAAAGAAACATTTCAAGCGCTGTACACATCTTCAGGGGTGAGTACAGACTGTACTCACCCCTGAAGATGTGAATTACACGAAAGCGCTTGGGAACTTCGTGTTTTCTTTTTTCCTTGTGGTTATCAGCATATATATATATATATATATATATATATATATATATATATATATATATATATATATATATATATATATATATATATATATATATATATATATATATATATATATATATATATATATATACATTACACAGTCGAGTCTGGATTTACACGGTTTTTGTTTACGCGTTTGGTCATTTATGCGGTGCCTTGCCAGAATTGAAATGTTTTAATTACGCGGTAAATTTGGTCATTTACGTGGAGAGCAGCTGGCGGTCTGGCCGCGCCATTTTTGGATTCAAACCTCCTGCCATGCTTGGGTAAGCGGCACGAGTAAGGTTGTTCAGTATGTAGCTGTTGCGTTATCAGTGACGTCATATGACATATCGGACTGTGATTGGGCCATGCATCCTTACCTCCCTCCCCCGCTAGCTGTGATTGGTTTAATGCAATATGACGTGCCCTGCCACGGGAGGGAAGAAGCCGCTGACCTAGCCACATCAGTCGCTCTCCTCCCAGTCACTCTGTGTAAACTGTGTTCTATTGTGCCCGCTAATCTCGTAAAAATGGCTTCCACTGGACCCCCACCACCACAGAAAAACCTTGCATTACCTGGACCCAGCCGCCCCAAGCCAAAGAAGATACGACATTCCCTAAGTTACAAAGTTAAGTACAAGATCATACAAGATTTAGAAAAAGGAACAAGACAAGTTGATTTGGCGCGCCAGCATGGCGTGAACGAATCGACGATCAGGATGATCAAGAATGATGCAGCCAAGATAAAAGAACACATGAACATCACAAAGTCTGCAGGTGCTTCAATGGTGAAGTACTGTCAGAACAAGGTGCTGCTCAAGACGGAGAATTTACTTGTGAGCTACTCGATTCGTCAGGCAAGACAGAACATGACGATGGACACGCGGTCAGTTCAGGACTACGCACGTGAAATGTACGTAGCAGTGGCACGTAAGATGGGAATTGCAGAGCCCAAACCCTTCAATGCTTCCTCTGGGTGGCTGCAAGGGTTTAAGAAGAGGAACAAGACCACCAACATTAACATTGGTGGTGAAGGAGCGAGTGCTGACCGTGTTGCAGCTAGTGATTTTCCTCCATTCTTACGATAAGTTATGGAGGAAGGACAGTACTCCGACGACCAGGTGTTCAACATGGATGAATCCAGTCTGTTTTGGAAAAAGTTACCTTCCAAGACCTTCATTGTCAAGTCTGCCAGCAAGTGTCGGGGCCGGAAATTGCAGGAGCGCATCACCGTCCTGTTTACCACCGATGCCTCCGGTACCTATAAGCTCAAGTTATCTGTGAGCCACACAGCCCGCAAACCGCACGCCTACAAGAACATGGACATGACCAAGCTAAATGTCCACTGGCTAACCGCACGTAAGCGTAAGGCGTGGATGTTCACTGCTCTGTCCCTCTCCTGGTTTGACGACTGTTTCGTTCCCGACGTCAACAAATTCTGTGAGCAACAGAATGTTCCATTCAACATTTTGTTGCTCCTTGACAATGCACCAGGACACTCGCCCCTACTGTTTGATCGTCACCCCAACGTAAAAGTGGTCTTCCTTCCTCCCAACACTACGTCGTTAATCCAGCCCATGGACCAGGAGTTGATATGCAACGTTAAGGCTGCATTCTCTACAAAGAATTTTAAGCTCCTGAACGACTGTACCAACACCCAGGATGAGTTGCGTAACCTGGGTGACACCGATAGCGATAGCCAGAGCGACGACGAAGAACAAGAGTTGGCGGATCATGAAGTTTGAGTCAAACAGTTTTGGAAGAAATATAATGTAAAGAAAGCTGTTGATTTCTTGGTGGAGGCATGGAAGTAGCTGTCTGTGGCAATGATTCGTCATGCATGGCAGCATGTATTGCAAGGTATCCCAGGTGGGAGGCAGAGTCAACCTGTGACTGGTGAGGTTCAGTCTGTTGCAGTGGACCTTGCAGGAGAAGTTGCACAGAGTGTTACAGCTGCAGGCTTCTCCGAGACCACCGACGACATTATGGAGGTGACAAGGGATCCTGAGGTGACTGCCAACGAGATGTTAGAAGACGATGATGTCAGTGAAGAGGCAGGTGGTGCGTCATCCCGAGAAGAACACAAGTTAAAGCATGGTAATGTTAAGGATGCCATCGAGTTTGCAGAGAAACTCAAGCTCGTCCTTTCCAACGACCCTGACGATCACCGCTATGAAGTCTTCAATAACCAGCTGTTGCAGACTATGGAGCCGTACATCCAGATATATCACGACAACATCAACACTAGCCGTCAGCGTAACATCACAGACTTCTTGGC